CGCAAGTGGGCGTGCTAGCCCGCAGATCCGGGCCGCGTTCGCAGCGCTCCGGGCGCATGCCGGCTCGCTCCTCGAGCGGCCCATCGCAGGGCCCAGCGACCCATCTGACGACCACGAGGTGCCGTTGGGTGAGTTGCTCGCGGGCAGCCTGCGAACAGGCTCCAGCCGGCTGGCGTAGCCGGCTCTCGTAGGTACCCCTGACCCTGAGGACTCACGATGCGGACGCATAACACATGGGGGATGACAAAGCTCTTACGGCGTCTTACGGCCGGAGTGGGAACGACACGCATCGGTGCCTATGGCGAGGTTCAACACCATGTCCAGGCCGCACAACAGGACATTGTGGCCCGCCACGCGTGAGTTCTGCGTAAGCCGTCTGCCTGCGGCACTCCGACTCGGAGGCAATGGAGTGCACATGATGGTTGTTCTTGAACCCTTCGCTCAACGTGATGTACAACCCAGACAGAAAAATCGATGCAAATTGCCGATCGTGGCTCCGTTATTTCGCCTTGTGGTTCGATGTGAAGACCATCTTGGGTTTTGCATCATTGAATGAGTCTGTAATGCTTCAGCATATAAAAGCTCGCAATGCTTTCAAGTTTTGCAAATAACGCAAGGTAGTGGTAACGACGATGGTGACCCCAGCATGCCAGTATGCTTCACCCGTCCCATCCCGATCCAGGTTGATCCGATCACGTGTGCACGGTTTCCTGTCATTTACAGGCCACATGTTGTGATGGCAGAAGATGTAGCCTGCAACGACCCGGAAGAGGAGGAGTTGCGCGAGTACGGCGGGAGACTCGAGACTTGAAATCAATGTGATGTTGTTTGGTGCCCAGTTTTTGGTACTGCATGACGAGATGCCAAGATGAAAAGCAACCTCCGGCAGCATCAGCAGCGGACGCTAATGCTTCAACAGCGGTTTCGTTGTTTGCGTGGTTGTGTTGTGATTCGATGTCGTCCAGCCCTCACACAGGAACCCGCGCGTAACGGACGGCAACAGCTGCTGGAACGGACAAGCTGCCACGGTTGTTGTGTCAATGGTTTGTTTGGGCAAGGGACAAGCCGAAGTGCAACAGCGCCTGCGAATCCTTCGTTTGGCAGGCTCCAAGCGACCCTGTCCGCTCCCGAGCAGAAAATAGTAACCACTTGACTTCATGAAAGTCGTGCGCGATCAGCGTTTGGTCCATCTGAAAGTTCACGTTGTTTTTGTTGGTGTCAGGGACAAGCTCACAGACTTGGAGCAGTTGGAAGAGGTGCGCTTCAATCCGTCTAACATTGTGCAGCATAGTGCAAGCGATTCATTTCAGCAGTCATGGATGCACCTAGGCTGTCAAAACCGTCGAGAAGTTGCAGTCGGACCGGGTTGGGCGCGCACCTAAGGTAAAGGTACAACTCAAGGAAGGGTTTCTTTGCTTCGAATTACGTTTGAATCATCAAGGTGCGCGAAAAACAAGCTACTGGCACGTGCTGTTTTGCGGTTGCACACATGGAACCGGATCGACCGAGGCGGCAGCCGGCACTCATCCGTCAGTTAGCGTTTTACTTCTCGGACGGTGCACCGTAGACCGCGATACATGACCATGAGCAGATGCCACATAGTTTCGGTGTAGGTCCCGAGATGTAAGCAGGACGCCAATTTGCGCCGGGATTGGTTTCTGCGGAAAGAGATCGTCCATGCCTCGGTCTGGTAGCATGTGGATCGTTCAGTGCTTTGATTCAATGTAAGAAGCTTGCAGAATGTCGCGTGGTGCGCCCAGGGAGCTTCCGAAGGAGGATATGTGAAGATCTCCGCGCGGCTCCCCACAAATCCTGGGGCAAGCTTCCGACTGTGTTTCGCTCACTGGCAATGAGGTGATCCTTCCTTTCAAACGACTTCATCTCATGGGTTGTTGCTTGGCCACATGATGTGTCATCTGATTCCCCAGCAACGTAATGGCTGTATGTTTCCAGCTGGATAAGCGGCTTGCAGCAGTGCATGGACTGGCATTCTTTACCAGTGTTAATCTGGCACTTTGGAATGGCATGTGAAGGTGTCAAAACGAGCCTTGGCCACCAACACGCGATGAACGGTTCTTTTGGACTTGGCAAGTTTGGTGCGTTGTACAACCAGCGGTAACTTTTATATTCATGTTTTGGCCTGACAAGTCAAGGTTATGTAAAACCAACCTCGAAAGTAAGGGTTCAAGCTTTGGGATGAGCGCTAGCAGCTGCTCTTCCTTCGTTTTTCCTAGTAGAGGGAGCACTGCACGTCATGTTGGGCTGTTCTCACGACAAGCGTGCCCTGACTCGTCCAGTGGCCAATTTCGCCATGTAAGGTTCGACGGCTGCTGAAATTGTAGCGGCCATCGAGGCACGAAGGGAAAAACAAAGCCGCTTTTTCGAGAATGTGAGGGTTGACCAGAGGCCGCAGATCCCAAGTTCAATTTGGAGCTCTCCGTCGGGACCCAAGCGCACATCTCCATTAGGGAGCAGGTATGTGACTCGTCCCTAGAATAAATCGGGGGTGGTCGCTCCTCCGTCCTTAACCATTACGAAAGATGAAGAGAGAGAGAGAGAGAGAGAGAGAGAGAGAATACTCGCACATACTTTCACACCCCCGAAAGCCCCATAACATATGGGGGGCCAAGAGGCCGGGGGGAGAGAGAGAGAGATAGAGTCCTTCTAGTGATAGGTGATTGGTGTACTTCTTTCATCGTTTGGGAATGCCTTCATGCCAGGGGATTGGGCGAGACTTTCGGGAAACCTGTGGCACTCCAACCCCCCCCCCCCCGAGATGAAGTAGTTCACGCATGCTGACCTTTAGGCATTCTATGTATCGCTGTGTCGTTGTTTCCTGCAGGATCGCGGGGAGGAACATGTGTGACAGGTCTCTACTGGCATCGGCCTCCGCATCATTTTGATTGGTTCGTAGTTCGATTGTTGTTCTGGGTCTCATAGTCTTGCTGTTTTGCGGGGGACGCCCAAAGCGATGCTGAGACTGAACTGAAAACCATTTAGACCTTTTCTCTATCTCTTACGTATTGAACACAGGCCGGAGGCTCAGCATCTAGCTTGTTGACTACTTGTAGCTTTTCGAGAAGTCATGCAGAGGCGACACCAGCCTCCTGGACTGTCCACCTGTGCACATAGTGATTTGAACTTGTGTCATGCTGTCAGTATCTCTCTTATTGATGTTCGAAACGCAGGGGGACACAAATGTAACATAATGATGCCCGTACTGTTGCATGTTTTTCTGGCCACGGATGTGTGAAGTCTCCAAGGCAGGGTAAATATGCAGATTCGGGGCTCGTACCTAAACATGGCATTGTAATCTAGAACGGGGGACTCAACACAACCGTCTTTTCACACTCCCTCAAAGCAATCCCCAAACACTGGGGGGCCTCTAAAGGCCAGGGGGTTTGACCGCCCCCTATGCCCTGATGAAGAAGAGAGAGAGAGGTAGGTTTGGGGGGCCAACTGGCCAGGGGGTTTGACAGACCCCTCATGCCCTGAGAGGTATAGAGAGAAAGGAGCGTGTAGACTCGTTCCTTTGCGGAGACCAGGAACTTGGCTGCGCGCACTGCGTGGGGAGGGGGGGTTACGACTCTCACTCCTCTAAGCCAGTAGCAAGCAAGCAAGGGAGGAGCGTGTAGTTATAGTTACATCACCGAGGACGCACGGGATGCTGTTCGGCGCGCTGGCGGGGCAGCTTTGCCACCTCCGTGTTGGTCCCCAGCAAATTTCTGTCGGGTGCAGCAATGACACGATGACACGTACGAAGATGCACCTCGCAAAATCTACGTTTACGGAAGCGTGTCTGTGGGAGCTATGTGACGGGATCAAGAATTTTGCTTCCATTTAGGTCATGTTTAGGTATTATGAATATGCGAAAGATTGAGAGACGGTTCACACTTTCGGAATTGCCTGTCAGGTCCTTTGGCGGCCCCGGTAGCGAATTCGCCGTGTTCCTCAGATTTTTCCAGCGACGGCAAAGCATTGCTCCCGTAATCCCTGCTTTCGAAGGAGAGACGAGCTGTGCAACTGACGGGTTTCACGCCCGGTCAGCCAACCCAGAGCCAGTTCATTGCATGGGGAGGGAAGGGCTCGGACATGGATCCAGCTTACGAGGTGATGAGTCGGTGGGCATTGAGTCCATGACGGAGATGTGCGCGAATTTCGGACCGGTCTTCTTCGTGAAGCTGTTGCGTTCTTAGCACGTTATCGTACGTCTCCACGCAACCAAAGACCTTCAGCTCGCCGAGGCATCGGGAGAGAAACCCGGATGTGAATGGCCAAAGACCAAGCTCAGTGTTTTTTCTTTTAAAGTCCCACTGTCCGTTTCATGTCTTCGTTCAGCATCGATCCTAAGGCGAAAATCCGTTCAACGGCACTGTGCAGGTGGAGTTCGAAAGTGAGGAGGCCGTCGGATCGTACGCTGCTGTGCGCTACTTTGTGTTCATCTCTGGGGTGGCAGGCAGCGGTGGCCATAGTGGCAATGGAGTGCTTCTCTCAGCTGAGACCTACTTTTTCCGAGTATCACCATTCTGATGTTGTCGTACAGCTTTCTTCGCTGGCACTCCGCTGAGGCATCATCTCATGTGGAAGGACCAGAAAATCCAAGCGTCGGAACCTCACTTCTGGAAAGGCTTCTTGTTGGACTTCGGTGCTTTGAACTCGGAGCTGAGCTTCGCCCCCAAGGGTCGCCTGGCCATGCGGCGGGTGTAGTGAAAGAGGACAGGACACAGCAATGGCGGTTCAAGAGGATGAGACTCTAGTCTTGCTCGACCTGCTTTCGGTGGGCCATGGGTCTGGCTGTGCAGCTGCTTGGCGTGGACACCGCGACACTTCTGCTGCCGCTCATCTGATATTTTCGAGTGGGAGATCGCAGTGTGGGCCAGATCGGGTGGGAGAGGGTTGTGGCATTGGCACGTGGGCTCCGTAAATATCGTCCCTGGTTTCATTTTGTTACTCTCAGCTGCTGCTTGTCGTCGTTGCTTATTTCTTGTGATCCTGTCAATTGCCCAATGCTGCCTCAAACGCCTCAGGAACTTTGCACGAGGCGCTGCTTGCTTTGTCCGGTCGATGAACTACTTGTAACATTTTGAAGTGCCAAATGCCCGAAACAGAGGCCGTGATTGATCTACTGGAGCATATTGTTTAATTATTTGTGTTGGGGACTCGAGTTTCTAGATGCGATAGCAAGCGTAGTCGTGATCAGATGTGTACGCGCCCCTCACTCTTACACATCTGCATGCAGATAGACATAGACAGACACACAGGCAGGCCGGCAGACAGGTGAGCAGGCAGGCAGGCAGGCAAAGAGACAGATGTTTAAGACAGGCCGCCGCTGCCAGTCGTTTGCTGGTCGGCGCTAGCATGCAGCTGCATGGGAGATTGGCGTGCAATGCAGCGGCACGTCAAGGCTGTCTACAAGGATCCCCGGTCTGTTGTGACTTGTTGATTTCTTCTCTGTCAGTACTGTGTTGTGGAAGTCAGTCGAAGTCAGGATGCCTTTGCGACCCAGCGCAGTCTCGATCGGCTTATTGCTGAAGAGAGGTTTAGGGCGGCCGTACTGCGTCTGAGCTGGCTGGCCGGCGTCGATGCAGAAGAGTTGCTGATGCCAGAGTTAGCTGCTTTGCTTGATCATGATCATGACCGTGAGTGTTTGGCATCCTTGCAGGCTTTTCGGGTTGGGCCTTTGTGACACCATTGAGGCAAACTCTGTCTATACCTGGGCTCACCTGGGCAAAGCTGCAAATGCGCCCAAGGGAGAAGAAGATCGGAGCACGTGCAGCAGCTGGCCCGAGAATTCGCAAACGGAGTGGCCACGCTCTTTGGTCAAAGATACGTCGTGCCGTGAGCTCCCTGGACTAGAAGAGAAGAAGAAGGCGATATATCCTCTTCCTAAGGACAGGGATCCAGGAAGCCATGCGCCTTGAGCTCAAAGCAGTCGAGGCTGCTATCCGCATTCGCCTGGCCCTGGGTGGAAGCCTCGAGGAGGTCACACTGTTGAACATGGTCCCGGCAGATACACCAGGTGACCTGTCTGTTCTGTACGCTGTCTGCGGTTTGCTGAGTACTGACGGTGACATCACGCCCCCCAGACAGGCAAGCTGGATGGTCGAGCATTGATTGCTTGCACCCGGCCGCGTGGGCTGACAGAGGCCACTACCTTGATGTGGGCCACATGCCAAGGCAGGTTGCACATCTCATCGAATATGACTCAGCCAGCAAAATGGTTGCAAGTGTTTGCTGTTTCCCGTCACTGGACTCCCACTACTGCTTCTTCTGCTGCTGATCGTATTCCAATGACGAAGATGACGACGGCGGAAGTACTGCTTCAAGCATTAAGACAACAGTGTAGAAATGCCTGTGATAAAGTTGGTGCAAAATCGGAACATCGTGTCAGCAGTTCAGCGTTGACTTTAGACATCGTGACTAGCGATTTGTCCATTCCATGCCGCTTGTGTAAGTTATTATTCCTAACCTTGCAAATGCATTGTCTTTCTCGCGTGCCCGCATTCAAGCAGGATTCGTTGATTTCGAGGGTCGGCCTCGAGCGAGGCGCCCCATTTCTGGGTTTACCTAAGTATCAGCTTGCTTCTGTCCCAAACTGCATCTGCGATCAGTTCAATTGGTTTGACTGAAGCCTAGAAGCCTTCAGCCAAGTCAACATGCCTTGCTTGGGAGGAGTTCGATGGGTGCAAGCGATTCTCCGTCTGGGCGCTAACGCCTCCAAGGCGCTGCCTAGACAAATCAGCAAAACCCTTGGTTCAATGGGGTTTACGCGTGCAGGTCTTTAGAACAGAGGCCTGTCAGCTCTACGCCATCTTCATCATGCAGTAAGTACTGTAGCTTCGGGGTACCAGCAGCTGGCAACATCCATGCCCCTGAGAGCCCTGAAGGTGACGCCAAGTGGCTGGTCCGCGCTTCTCTACGGTGCTATGGTGGAATTTTGTGGCAGCTGCTTTTCCTCTGTGCAGTGTTTCATGTCTTGGGGGAGTGGGAGTGAAGTTATGTGGAGATGCACACCAAGCAACTCGAATAGCTGGTGAGAAACTGAATCGAGGCAGGCGAGAGCAACGGAACTCGTGGGACCGGTGCGAATCCAGTGGAGTTTCAAGTGCTTCGCTGTTAGGCAGGCACTAGGACAGCAAACCCTCTTTGCTGGAGAAGCAAATCATGTACGTGCACCCGGTCGTCTCGACTGCCGCGAATGCCTGAGTTCCAGCAAATCGACTCGACAGGCATGAAGCCTGACCAGCTGGCTCTAGCCTGTGTCAGAGAAAATCCGAACTTGGTGTTTAAGTGACTTCAAACATGGTTGGACACATGGGCACACGGAAGTGGATGGCATGGAGCTGGCGACCAATTTGATCTTCGTGGCTGCTGTGTTCGAGATCGGCACTTTCGTGGCAAGCATGCAAAGCTGGAGCGCGAAACCTGAGATTTCGATTAAGGTGACATATGTTGTTTTAGCAATTTTTTTTGGCGGGATGTTCTGTATTCTGTATTGTCAACAAAGCCAGGCAGAGGGATGACAGCCTGCGCCTGCTATGTACTGTAGCGGCAGTCTTTTGAAGCACTGAGAACAATCAGCTACAACACAAGCCAATCTAGAACAAAATGCACATTTGATGCATCATCAGCCTCGCCTGGTGTCTGTTAAATGCGCCAGACGAGTCGTACGGTCTGCACATGCTGGGGCCTGATGCGGGCAGGGATTATGTTCTGGTGCTGGCCAAACCGCGGCTCAATTTTGCGTGATGTCTCGAAGCGTATAAATAATGACAGGGGGGAAGGGGGTGCGAGAGTGCTTGATCGCATCAGCGCTCAAACATGATCAGCAAGGCAACTTGTTGAAGATTTTGCTTGCGAGCTGCTTGACTTCCAGTGCGGTGCGATGTGGGGAGCGAGTCACAGGTTAGAAAGGAGGAGGGCTGCAGACGGGTGACAGTTTCTCAGTAACGTTTAAACATGCAGGTTACATTGAGTGTCGGCTATCAGACCAGCCACTGAACGGAGTCCTCTGCAGGTGCAGCGTTCGAGTCCCGGAAGATGACAGCAGATGGGTCGTCAGATTCAGGCGATGCGAGCTACGGCGGCTACCGCAGCTCGTCTTCAGGAGATTTCGGCTAGGCGCATAGGGTCATACAGGTTGGTTGATGTTGTTGCGTCGAGAGAGAGAGAGAGAGAGAGTCTTAGTCTCTAACTTGGCAGGGGGAAGACGAAGTGAAACCTTGTGCATGTGTCCAATGAGAGTGCATTGTCATCAATTCTTCGCTATCGTACACTTTAGGCACTAGCCGTCCTGATGACTTGCACTCGTTCTTTCACTCCCCGCATACCCAATAAATATTATTGGGTGAGCCATTTGGCCCCGGAACGCTGACCCATCCCCATGCCCTGGAGAGAGAGAGAGAGAGTTCAAACCTTGGCCTCATCGTGAAGACGTAGCACAGACTTATGACAATCAGGGCGCGTTCGCGTGCGGAGGGGAGTGCGTCCGTGCTCTCCTTCTGACTGTGTGGAAGAAGAGAGAGAGAGAGAGAGAGAGAGAGAGAGAGAGAGAGTGAGAGAGTTGTTTGTTTCACCGAGCCAGAAAGCGCCCTGACACTCCATCTTACTAGCCCGAATCGACATGTGCGTTCCAGTGCGTGCGAGAACTAGGTCACCGAACGCGCGGCGTTGTCGGCCCTCTGATCGATGCTGGGGCAGATCCGAATGCTCGCACTTTGCAGCTCAAGGCAGTCTGCCAGGGTTCAAACGATTTTGGGATCATAAAATGTCTTGTGAGCCTGCTGAAGGCCATATAAGCTAGGGGCTGAATCTTGGAGCAGCAAGTAAGAAAAAACATTGAAATAAATGCAGGAAGCAGCGAGGAGGACGAGGAGATAGTAGGCTAGTGGTGGTGGCCGTGGTGCTAGCAGAGTACCCATGGTCTAGTGCGGTTGGGGAAGAGAGAGCACCCATGCCCAAAACCGAGTGTAGAAGAAGAAGAAGAAGCAGAACCGGTAGCAGCAGCAACAGCAGCAGCAGCAGCAGACGTTCAGCAGGAGGAGGAGCAAGAGCTGGAGCGGAGCTGGAGCAGGAGCAGGAATAGGAGCAGGAGTGGGAGTAGTAGGAGTACGAGTACGAGTACGAGTAGCAAGGTAGGGGCAGTGGTAGTAGCGGGAGCGGCTGTCACAGTGGCCGTGGCAGTGGCAGTCGTAGTCGTAGTCGTAGTCGTAGTCGTAGCAGAAGTAGTAGTAGTAGTCGTCGTCGTCGTCGTGGTAGTAGTAGTAGTAGTAGTAGTAGCAGCAGCAGTAGTAGTAGTAGTAGTAGAAGATGATGATGATAGTAGCAGTGGTAGGCTGATGATAACGATGTTGATGATGATGATGATGAGTGTGAGGATGATGATGATGATGAAGAAGAAAATGATGATGATGATAAGCATGATTGCATGATGATGTTCACGGCACAGTATCAGGATGATGGTTAATATCCTGATGGATATGCCAAAAGCTCGTCAACGACAGCAGCATGTGTAGACATCATAAGAGCATGTCGTGGCATGCTAAGACATCCTGAGCCATGTGCCATGGAAGGCCACCTCGCCCATGTCTCACTCGAGCGAGGCGATGGTCCATGGTTGCGAATTCCGGCCATGCTAGCAAGTGGGGCTTTCTCGGTAAATGTGTTGTGTTCTCTGCAGGCGTCGGCAAAAACGCCCAGCCTGCAAG